TTTTTTGGTCCAAGTAGCTTTTCGCCTTACCTAAAGCTAATGGGAAAAAATTCCACTCCAAAGCCAGAATTTTACTAAGTGTTTGGTAAATAGCTGAAAGCTTATAGCTGTTTGACATTGCAAAATGACCAATAAGGACATTTTATTATTTAGAGTGTATTCTTTTAATAATAATATATTAAAGCATTTAATATTCTTTAGCTGATAATTTATAAATATATATATATTTTTTTTAAATTTACTAACACTTGATGAAGAAGTTATGAATTTTACATTTTTCTAGATAAATTAATCATATGGATGACATATTATTATTTATTAGCTCTATAAACCAATGTAGATTGTAAAATAAATAAGACAATTTAAAAAGTTCTAAATAAAACCTTTCAATTGTGAATCCTCAATCCCAAAAAGCTGCTCTAATAAGTTTTTTCTAAATTAGAATTTTGAGCCCAAAAAACTTATCAAATAAGCTATTTATCAAACAAGCTCAATAGCGGATTTGACGGGTCAAACCTATCAATTAAGTCCAATCCGCTAATTTATCTTCAATCCGCTATCTACCAAACGGGGCCTGGCCTTGTTTGGTAATTGGCGGTTAGCTGTTAGCGGATTCTATTAGCTGTTTTGACCAGCGGATTACGTTAGCTTGTTTGACCGGCTGATTGTGTTAACGATTTGTAAAATACTATTTGATAAAATTAGTTATTTTTAATTATTTGTGTATATGATTACTTGGAAGTTTATTAATATAATTTAATATTTTATTTATCTAGGATAAATTTATTTTCATAATACTTTGAAATAAAAAAAATGACAAGTAATTGTACATAATTTCTAAAATAACAAATTAGTCAATCAAACATTTTTTATTAAACGTGACTGTACATAACTTATTAAACATCTTTTAGTGAGATTTTTTTTTTTTTTTCATTCATCTCACTTCATTTCTTTTTTATTTATACAATTGTCTTACCCCACTACATAGAAAACCCCTTAATTAGACCCATTCAGCCAAAAAAAGCCATTCATCTTCCAAAACGCTCTGAATAGGAGCGGTTTCAATTTTAGCGTTTTCATGCAATCCGCTAACTTAAAAAGCTATCTAACCAAACACATATTTTAGCGGTTTTAATTTGGTCAAACTGCTAATATTGCTCAAAACGCTAAAAGTTGGCCAAAAAGTCATTTACCAAACAAGGCCCTAGTCTATATAGATAACTTAGAAATTAGAAGGGCATGGAGTATCTGATCATGGTTCGATTACGGTAGACATGTTCGCAATTGTATCTTCTATAGGTTCATTGATTAAATATTTATTTGCTTATATTTGAATCCGTGTTACGAAAGTTATTGGAGGTACCCTTGTTACAAAAGTTATTGGGAGCGAACTACTAGGTGTATAGGTGAGAGTATCAGTCTTTATACCGAACAAATGTATGTTCGATGTAGATTTTAGGATATGATGAGATTCTTGACCTTCTTCTTTCTAGTTGTTTAATTAATTTTCTACTTCTTGGTAGATTTTAGATGAATTGTCCATATCAATCGTGATTTTGAATGTTCGATATAGATTTTAGGATATGATGAGATTCTTGATCTTCTTCTTTCTAGTTGTTTAATTAATTTTCTCGTTCTTTGTAGATTTTAGATGAATTGTCCATATCAATCGTGATTTTGAATATCTAAAACTTATTTTCTTCCCGTGTGTGATGATACCGACTTTAAATGCCAAATCTTTCTCGTAAGATAAGTCCGAGGTCGAGATTTATTCCGCACTCGATAAAAAAATAATTTGCTACAACAACATGAAAGACTTGATTAACCACATCTTTCTACTAAGTATACTGGCCTAAAATAACCCCCACAATTTAGCTGCAAAAAAAAATATATTTCTCGTTTTGTTTAATATATATGTAGTGTAAACTCTGCTTCAAACCGTTGCATATAGAGATGTTAAATGGTCCTTGGCCCGACGGGCTAGCCCGTTTAGCCCGGAAAAAAATAGGGTTAGGGCCTTTTATTGGCAGCCCGTTTAAATCCGGGCTTTTTGGGCCCGGATCGTTTAGCCCGAAGCCCGCTAGGGCTAGCCCGTTTAACTTGAGTTTGGTGGTGTATATGGTTTTTAAAAGGTTATGAATATGTCTCATGATTCCTTGTATATTAATTTTGCTATTCTATTTCACATGTAATTATGAGTTATAATGTATTATTATTATTTTGATATATAAGTATTAACAAATTTTATTCTATTTCACAGCAAAATATTTAAGCCAATCAGAACGGCTACTAAAAAACAAATGAGACAAAGACTTAATACATAGAATATATGATAGAATATAAATTCGGCGTACCAAATAACTAGTCAAATGGTAGTTATAAGTAATAGTTCAAATATTTTTTTTTTCTATTGAGAAACAATATGTTATTTAAGAGTTTGTAATGTGTGTTCATATATGAAGTGTAGTTGTATATTTATAGTGGTAAATACTAAATAGTCGTTGAAGAAATCGTTAACTATGTATTGTAATTATTATTATTATTATTATTATTATTATTATTATTATTATTATTATTATAGCCCGTTTAACTCGAAGCCCGCTAGATTTAGGGTTAGGTCCTTTTATTGGTAGCCCGTTTAAATCCGAGCCTAGACCGTTTAGCCCGAAACCCACTAGGGCTAACCCGAAACCGCTAGAGCTAGCCCGTTTAACATCTCTAGTTGCATACAACAACCACTGCTCAACAATCCATCTTTTTCTCCCCATAAACAAACATTAACCCCTCAATCGATTAATTATTCCCCAAAGCAAGAACTCCGTGACTCAACCTTTTGTTCCACCACCATTAACTATTATATTAGTCCCTTTCTTTCCAACTTCCACTAATAAATTAAGCACAATCAACCTCTGTATTTGCTTACAATTCCTTTCACCTCCCCAAATAAAATTACCAAAATCCAATAACTATTTCAGGGGAATAAAAAAAAATCAGTATTAACTACTGAAGCTCTTGGTATGATCAAGCATAAGTACATTATCGTTAAGACACAATAATATAGCCACTAGCACCACCACCACCAAACGCTCCTACATTTATTGCCTTCACTTGTTTCTCATTACGCTCGTCGCTCTGCAACTTACTCTGTTTTTTTTTTCATTATTATTTTCACCCCTTTCTGTTTTTCCCCTGTTTTCTGTCGCAATGAGTTTTCCGCGTTTATTGAGTTGGGTTATGGTCTTTTTGGTGGTTACGTTTGAAGCTAAAGTCGGGCTCGGCCAAATTAACGGCATTCGCAGGAATTACATTACGTGGAGAGACTTGAAAATGGAAGGTCCTCCTCGTAATTTTCCTTTGAGAGATATCGGTGGTAACAATCGGAATAAATTAGTAATCGTGGTCGATAAATACGGCAGAGGAGATTCTTTTACGGTGCAAGGCGCAGTCGATATGGTGCCGGAAAATAATGTGCAGAGGGTCAAGATTCACATTCTTCCCGGAGTTTACAGGTTCCAATTTTCATTATAGTTTTTATTTTATTTTATTTATTGTTTGCTTTCCTATGGTGACTCTTGAATTTGTAGCTCCCCATTTTTCATCANGCCCACTAATGAAATTTCTGGTTTTTGATTTTTCTGATAAATTTTATTGACGAAAAAAAAAAAAAATGCAGAGAAAAGGTACGGATACCAGTGAACAAGCCGTACATCTCCTTCATAGGCAATGAAAACGAGCCGTCGTCAACAGTTATAACGTGGCACGACAAAGCTTCAGATAATCTCCCAAACGGCAGCTGCTGCTTAGGGACTTGGAATTCGGCCTCTGTCTCTGTGGAATCCGACTACTTCTGCGCCACTGGGATTACTTTCGAGGTGAGCTGCCTTAATTTCAATAAATCCTTTTTATTATTATTATTATTAATTATTTATTATTTGTGTTTTAGAATACGGTTATTGCTGAAGAAGGTGGAGTGAAGGGATATGGATATCAGGCCGTGGCTTTCAGAATATCAGGCGAAAAGGCGATGTTTTACAAGGTTCGATTCTTGGGCTCACAGGACACGCTGTTGGATGAGTCGGGCTCCCATTATTTTTTCCGGTGTTTTATTCAGGGCTCCACCGATTTTATATTCGGCAATGCAAAATCGCTATATCAGGAGTGCGGAATCTCGGTTGTGGGTGATGGATATGCAATAGCAGCCCAACACCGTAATTCGGACACTGACGAAACGGGCTTTGCTTTCTTGAACTGTACAGTGAGTGGGACTGGGCCGATTTATTTGGGCCGGGCCTGGGGGAATTATTCGAGGATAATATATTCATACACGGAATTTGATATTGATGTGAGGCCACAAGGATGGGAGGATTGGAGAGTTCCATCTAGACAAAGGTGCCACAAAATTTTCTTCTCAATTGCATTTGCAAGCAAAAAAAATACAAAATAAAAAATATATACATATATCTATATCTGTAATTTTGTTGTTTTTCGACAGCACTGTAGTGTTCGGTGAATACGAATGCAGAGGGAGAGGAGCAGATAGAAGCAGAAGGGTAGAATGGTCAAAAGCCCTCACCTACTGGGAAGCAAGACCTTTTCTGGATATCATGTTCATAAGAGGCGATCAGTGGCTCAAACTCTAGTTTACTAACTACTTCTCAATTCTCACCTATTCATCTCTCTTTGTATATTGCATACATAGAATGAGCAACCTCAAATCCAAAATCTTCATGCCACATAGTAGGGGCTTCATGTAGCATATTCTTACCAGATTTTGAATTACACACTCCATACTTAAAAGATCAATCAAGCACATGTATTAACACAAAACCAGAAGTTGGACCGAGAGTTAATAATAAAGGTTCCTCCTTTTATGTCTGACAATGAGGTGAATTGACTTCAATTCCAAGTATCTCAAACATCATTCCTGTACAACATCAAGGAAATGACACCACGAACCAAACTTAACACAAAACAAGACCTAAACATCATATACAACTATGTTCTTGCTTAACCTGATAAACCCTATGGATCCACCATACACATATAATGAAACTCGATCAATAGATTTTTTTTTTTTTTTGGTCAATGGCTGGTCAGGATTTCCATTGCTTCTTCCCCCTCACATTCCAGCTCGGCAATCTCACATTCCACCAAGTTGTGGTCCCCACTGCCATCTTCAATGCTAATTCTCACAATATCATCAGCTTCATTGTTTGCACCTCTCTCGTCACAATCCATGTACTCCTCTTTCTCGTTGTTAACATGTTCGGAATTATTTTCCTTGTCATTGTTGGTGCTGTCATCTTTCAAAGGGACATTTGTTAGCGTCATGTCCACTAAGTCGTGATGAACCTCCTCTTCAACTTTGTGATCGGGAGTTGGACAATTATCATCAGCTGTGGCGTCTACATTATTTGCAGATATGATGCCAAGAATATGAGGGTTTGGCTCAACATCCACCCACCCCCCATCAAACACCCAATCTTTCGAAACTCTTAGGTTCTTCACCTCAACATTCACATACAAATTTTNGAAAAAAAAAAAAAAAAAAGCTTGATAAGAACACAATACCTCATTGCTGTCAAGAAATTAGAAACAACTTGAGAAGATTTGGCAAAACATCACAAAACCTGGGATGTAAATTTCAAAGGAACCGACTTTATCATCACTCGTGCCAGATATGACTCCTTCCCACCAACCATCATTCCACCAGGCATCAGCTGAATGTCCAACTTCAAAGTTTGCACTCCCCTCATTGCAAGGGTATGCGGGCCTCACGGTCGAACGGCCAGGATGCCTCACTCCTAATTTGTCGGCTTTCGCCACTCTATTCGTAGGAATCCATTCCTTTTAACATATTAAAAAAATGTAGTTATTGGTAATAAATAGTCAATCGCCAAGAATTTCAAGTATGAACCTAGAAGTTACAGTTCATTGCATAAAAATACTTCCATAGGATTTTTCAAGTGCACACAAGTATCGAAAGCATATTAAAAAAAATGTAGTTATTGGTAATAAATAGTCAATCGCCAAGAATTTCAAGTATGAACCTAGAAGTTACAGTTCATTGCATAAAAATACTTCCGTAGGATTTTTCAAGTGCACACAAGTATCGAAAGCATAAGATTAACTAGAAAAATTGATCACTTGCCATGCATACCTCAAGGTTGCTGCAACTATCCTCATCCTTAATATCATCGTACAAAACCTTCATTTGTCTCCTGGAGACCTCTAAGACTGTGCATCTGAACCAGCACCCACGAAGACCACTGTCTTGACAAAGGAATTCCACCTTTTCATTCACTGCAAAAACTGGGGTATGCTGAAGAAGTCGGGCCTCATCGTGCTTGAGGAAATTTGGCTCCCGACTCGTTAGATCATATTTCTTGTACGATAAATCGTATCTCGACTTATTGAACTCTCTGGAACTTCTATTTCTTTTGGATCCGGCTTTCACGTCATCCTCGGAGCTGACCTCCTTTTCATCGAAAAAATCGGGGCTAAAGCACGAAAAAATCGGCTGATTGAAATACCCGCGCAATTTGCTTAGCTTAAAAGGCTTTATTTTGCTACTCTTGAATTGTTTCAAACAGAAATGAACTCGGCCTAATAGATCCTGGGGAAAAACAGACAGACACTTTTCATAGTGTTCGCGAGTTAATACTATGGCGGGGCCGTCAACGCACTCAGCACTAATGACTTGTATGTATGGAGTTATAAAGACTTCTTTCGGATGAGGGTTACGTAAAGAAACAACTCCCTTGACTTCCCTGTTGTGATGAAACCATCTCACTTTGACTTTTTTATGGCCCTTTCTGTCTTCATACATATCCTCCAAATACGCAATATAGTGGTTTTCTTCTTCGGCCATTACAAAAACAAAGGATTGTACCTGGGACAACACAGTGAAAGGTTAAACCATAAAGGAAGAAAGCAAATAAGTCTGATATTCACAAAATTAACATACAGAAAAAAACTAATAAAATCTCTTCTTGAGTTCTTGGCACATCTTAACCATGCTGAAAACTTTTCATATGCCGAAACATGTGAAAGTAAATCCACACCCGTATGACCTTAACTTCAAGCTAAGAAGCAAACAAGCCAATTGGAGCACAAATGTGAAGGAGACTGTTTCAGATGGACTAAAAGAACCACAATAACTTCATATCCTTCTTTAAGACCACAATCAAAATTCATTATTAGAAACAGAAAAATCACTAAAATATAACTGTTCATTCAAGCTTGTATTTCAGCATTTCAAGTGATCAGCTGCGAAGAAAGCTAGAAAATATTACTTAATAATGGGCTCCAAGAAGCTTACTGCAATTGATATCCCATTACGGCAAAATGCTGGATAATGCTTCAACTGTTTACCACAAGCCCATGCAGAGCCTGACCAGGAAATGCCTAAATGATGACCTTTTGAATTCTTAGCTAAATGACCCTGAAATTAAAAAATGGTATATGATTCAAATGAAAAGGACTCAAATGAAATGGTCCATGGACATGAATTCAAACAAACATATACCTTATGAGACAGCGCCTGAGTCTGCTGAATATTGTCCTCCAAAGTAGGGTTATCCTTGTGTGAAACTGTGATCATTAAATATACAAGCTTTTATCAATATTGTTATAGCACATTTGTACTGCCTTATTAAGAAAGAAATACTAGAGGTACGTAATCTTCGTACAGGAGTAATTTGCAAAACTAATATTCACAAGTCATTCGCAAAAAGGAAGTTTACAAGGTACACATGACCAATGTAGAAACTTAAGCTTGAGATCTGTAAACATAAAAATTACAGACCCTCGTAACAATATCTACAGGAAGTAGCTGGTCACTTTCGAATGGCTGACAGGACAAACAGATTTCATTAGGGAAAGGTCAGCATGCCAAAGAATACAGCATCAATAGACATATTCTCTCACAATTTAACCACTCTTACATAAAGCTAAATATATTTAGAAAGGATAATGATAATCCCCCAAAATCTGTTTTCAATTGGTCATAATGTCCCTGGTAAAAGATGTTATTCAAGAAAATCAATGCAAAGCAGTCTGATCACCAGTAGTCCAGAAATCAAAAGGTCCAAATAAACAATAATTAAAGAAGTGTTTAAGCATCAGCAAAACAAGAACATACCTGCAAAATCTCCACTTTGTTGTTTAGAGAGCATGGAAGTAAGCCAATTCACAACCTCTCTCCTCGATCTCCACCTGAATCCGGCTTGGACAGAGCTTTCAGCTCCATGGGCACTAACGAATTCTTCAGAAACAACATAGAACATGTGCCTAACACTCCTCTCTGTACCCACAATAGCAAGAATAGATTCCCCTGAATTATCCTTCAAGAAATAGTGAACTACACGGTTTCCCCTCTCTTTCGACACATACTGCTCTTTCCACTCCACAAAATAATGCTCGTTGATAGCCATAGTCGGTACCATTTCAAGGACTCTTTACATAATCCCATGGGAACCCATCAACAGACTCCCATTGGAACCCTAATTAAGAAAGCTAAAACTAAGGTCACAAAGAAAACATAAAAAGGGAAAGGAGGGGAAGCCCAGAAATCCTGACGTCCCTAGTCTCAGTTGACCAGGAAGTGAACGCCGTCAAGACTCAAACGCCCCAAAAGGAGACAGTACTCGCACAGCCCTGAGGAAACACGCCAAGAAAAATCGCGGCTTTAAGGATCTGCCCGAAGATTGTAAAGCAAGATCAGGAAAAAGAACAAGAAATGAGCTGAGGCCTCTGAGAAATCCAGGAACACTTAATCAGAGTTAAAAAGATAATTCATCTACAAAGTCGAAATGGGCATCCACGTTAGAGCAGTAGATGAACAAGAAAGAATCGTCTTGTGAGGCCTCACGAGTTGCAAGGACCAGAAACGGCGGCCCTCGTAAGGAGGCCTTAGAAACAGGCCAAAAAACTGAAGGTCTCTTACACTTCCGTCAAGAAGGTTTGGCTGTAAGAAAAAAGAGGAGTTAGAGATAAAGGAAAGGGAGTTGATAAATTTGGTCAGGAATTTGAGACTCACATTGTTTGTACTGTGATGGAAGAGGGAGAGAGAGATGGGGGCTAGTAGTGTTGGAGGTAGGTGGTAGAGAGAAGGGTTAACAAACAAACTATCAACAAGGGCAGGAATGTATTTTAACATTTGGTCTTCAATCCACTAGATTTAGTAATTACGCATGCGCTAATTGATACTTTT